TGAATATGATCTACAATGAAAGCAATACTTTCTATTTAAAAGTCTCCAGGATAAATGTCAAAAGACTAAGTAGGTTCCAAATGTCTCTGCCAAGGAATTATTAAAAATCTTCAAGCAAGATACTCAAAATTAATGAGCTTAAATTTAGAATCTATAATTTAATTTAATATAATTCTTACACTAACTCAAATAGGGAGTTGATGTTACCTCATTTTAAATGAGGGGACTGAAGCTCAGACTTGTCTGTTAAGTCATCATATCTGCCCACCATACAATACAGAAAAACCAGTGTTAGGGTATGGTACTATTTGAAAGAAAATCTAAGAAATAGTATCCAAATGTGGAATTATGCATGTCCAGAGTGATAAATCTTTGGGCTCACTCATATATTTGTTGCTTCCCACGGGGAACCTTCTCAAACCCTATAAGCAACATTTTAACCTTAGCCTTTGACTGTTTGACTCCTGGCTCAGCCCAACACCAAAAAGAAGCCACCTTTGACCCTTATTCCAAAATCCATTAGTAATTTAACTTTACAGGTATATAATTCAAATATTTCCTCAGCAGACTCAGTGTTTCCCCTGTAATTATGATTGCCCATTTCACCTGGGCAGTGCCTTTTCAGTTCCTCCTTTCTGCATAGGAGTAGACACCATTTCTCACCCGTAGCACTTTGAAGATGCCCTGCACTCTCAAACAACTCTATGAAGCCTATTTTTCCTACTCATGGGATAAGAAAACAGATGACCCTGTCTTCAACTTGTATTTTAAAAATAATGATGCATATTGCCTTCTTCTTTACAGTTGAGTTGTATTCCATTGTGTAAATGTACCCCAGCTTTTTTATCTATTCATCTACTAATGGGCACTTGGCTGCCTCCAAATCTTGGCAATTATAAAGAATGCTGCAATACACATAGGGGTGCATATATTCTTCCAAATTAGTGTTTCAGTTTTCTTTGGATACATTCACAAAAGAGGAATTGCTGGGTTGTAAGGCAGTTCCACTTCTAATTTTTTAGGAAACTCCATACTCTTTTTCATGGTGGTCGTACCAATCTGCATTCCTACCAACAGTGCAAGAGGGTTCCTTTTCTCACATTCTTCCTATTACTTGTTGTTTGTTGATTTATTGATGATAGCCATTCTGACAGGTGTGAGATGGTATCTCATTGTGGTTTCAATTTGCATTTCTCTGATAATTAGTGATATTGAGCATCTTTACATGTATATTGGCAATCTGTATGTACTCTTTGGAGAAGTATTTATTCAGGTCCTCTGCCCATTTCTTGACTAGATTGTCTATTTTCTTTGGTGTTGAGTTTTATAAGTTCCTTATAAATTTTAGATATTAAGTTCTTATCAGATGTATTAGCAAATATATCCTCCCATACAGTGGGTTGTCTTTTCATTTTTTGATGGCTTCCTTTGCTGTTCAAAATTGAACATTATGCTAAGTATTATCCTAAGTGAAATAAGTTGGTGAAAGACAAGTATTATATGATTTCACTCATATGTGGAATCTAATGAAAAAATAAATTAACAAACAAAATAAAAACAGAGTTATGGACATAGAGAACAGACTGACAGCTGTCTGAGGGGAAGTGAGTTAGGAGCTGGGTTAAAATGGTGAATGGATTAAGCAAAGAAAAAAATACACACACAGAAAATGGTATGGTGATTACAATGGGGAAAAGGGGTGGGAGAGATAGAAAAGGGTAAAGGGAGAATAAATGAGAAATGATAAAATAAATGATAAAAGGAGATTTGACTTGGGGTGGTGAACACACAATACACTATAGAGATGAATTACTATAGAATTGTATACCTGAAACCAATATAATTTTCTTAACCAATGCTACTCAATAAATTCAATTAAAAATAAATAAAATGTATATAACAAATATTAATTAAATGAATAAAGTAATGGCATATATATTTTAAAACTGTATCAATTATATATACAATATGCATATATGTGGGTTTTGTGTGTCTATTCCTATTATTAAAAATTTGCATTACTTGAAAACTCACTGTTTTAACTGTCAGTCTCCTACAAACAGCAAAGTGACTGGCAGGTAGAATTGTGTGGTTAGTGAAAAAACTTGCTGTTATTGGGTAGAGCCCAATGGAATGAACAAGACTTTGAGCAACAGCATTTTTATTCTGAAATCAAACAGCCTCTGATGACTTCTCTTTCCTGTCAAGTTCTGGAGAATTGGGTGCTTTTCTTGTTTTTGTTTTTAGCCTGAATTTTGTTCTTTTACTATATACACTGAATGTGAAATAGCCTAGTGTGTTTCTTTGGAGACTCAGGATTTTGCTAGGAGATACCCAGGGATGGATGTAATTCAGCGACATTTTGTCAGGCTGTTAAAGAGTAAATTTTCCTTGACTGTGGCAGGAGGTAATTATTTTTGTTTGTTTACTTCTGACACAGGGGAAGAAAATTTGGGGTTGTTATTTCAACTATTCCAAGATACTTTTCATTCTGTTTGGCAGGAAAGGGAAAAAAGCATTTTGCTCTTGGAGGAATAACCAGCCTCTGCTCTCCCTCACAGACCTGATGCACTTTTTAACACTGTGAACAGTTTTGCAACCAGAGTCTCTTAATGATTTTTCCCTTCTTCCTGAATGGAACTTTTCGTCTTCCTGGCATTGATCAGTAGCACATTCTGTTAGGAATATTCAATAACATGCATGGAATATCCTCAAAGCAAACACAGCCATAGATGTGGCTTCTGCACTCGGACTTCACACTGATGGGGGGAGACAGGGATGCACAACTAAACCAATGATAACAGTAGTAAAAATACTTATCTTCCATGTAAAATAGTTGTTTATGCAGATGGTTTTAGAAAGCAAGCTCTTTGAATAATATTTGTGTAGCCTAGTTCTCATACTTTAAATTTTAGTACAGTATTTAATTAAAATGCACCAAAAAGTGTATTGCCTATTCAGTACTGGTTGGGCACTTTTTAAAATTATTAACTAAAATCTTAGCTAGCACCAAATTCCTGAAATTTCTCTGAGGTAAATGGTGAGAACAAAGAACTCAGCTCAGGTGCAAACTATGCCTCTTGCCCCCTTGGTACCTGTCCTCAAAGTCTGGCTTTGTAGAGGCAATGGGATCCCCAGGGGAAAAGTCCTCTCCATCCCCACCCCTAACTAACACCTCTCACATGTATCTCACACTTCTTAACAAGACCTTTGAGATGACTCATTAGAGAAAAAAATTGTTAACCTACATTGTTATCAAGCAAGGTTAATTCAAAAGTTACCTGAAATATGAGCATTTTTCATATATATTAAAATGAAAGTCCACTGAGTAAGAATTTATGGGCTTCACTAGCAAAGAGACAGAATAATTATAACAGTACTAATAAAAGAAGCTTCTGAATTCTTACTACGTATTGGTACTATGCATTTCTGCAAACACTGTCTCAGTCATTCCTTACAACGTCACCAGTGGGCAGGTATTGTTATTCCCATTTCACAGATGAGCCAACTGAGGCTTCATTCCTCAACAATTCTTTTCAGCTCAGGATACATTTTCCTTTAGGAAGATTTTTTTCCATAGGCATAGATTTAGGGAGTTTTTTTTCTCATAGGCATAGTTCAAGTCTCTGTTTCTGGTGTCACCCATACTACCATCACTACCAATTTGACCAACTATGTCTAATGCTAGCAGTGGGTATAGTGCAGGGTTACTTAGGGTTAAGCCGCAATCTTCCCTAAATGTCTGTTTAGTATATGGTTTCCAACAATAGGCTGCTTTTGTTTTTAACTCCTATCAACTTCCAAACAACTTGGAGTTGGGGAAAAAAAAACTGTCACTTTCCTCAAAAGGTGTTGGATATCTAAAAATAAACTTGGCAATAAATAGAGATTAAAAATCTGTTTTCTTCTCAAATATTGGAAGTAAATAATAAGATCCTAAGTTTGTAATTTTTAAGTCTATGTTACAAAGTTGCTTACTTTTACAGCTGCACTTTCCATTTTAATTTCAATTGGTCACTCAGTGACCAGAATAAATGTAACACATTATCTGAGGAATACATTCATGTGAATAGTATATCCCCACCTTTAATGAAACACCACATACTAAAATTAATTAAAAAGGTACCTTTTAACACAAACCTAAGGAAAATGGGGAAAGAAAGCACACTACTACCTATTGGAGAGAGAAATTATTTTCTTCTTAAAAAGTGACTTTGTGATACCTATATTGACTCTTATAATGTTTGTTTTATTCATTCAAATTAATAGTGTGAAAGGCAATTCTATATTTGTGAGCAGTCTGTGCTTATGCCCAGCACCCAATGAACCAGCATTCAATAGGTTCTGGGACTAACCACACCCCTTTCTTTATTTTCCCTGGGCTGGAGTTCTCCCTCTCTGCTTCTACAGGTTACTTGGTGATCTTCTACCTCTACTTCTTACCTCTGCATCCATGACAACTCTCTAATCTTATTTACTGCTTCCTCTCTCCCCCAGTACGGTGTCTTCTCCAATTCCTTTGCATGGTAAGCACGCTCCCCTATATTCATAAGATATTTTCTGAATGATCCCTCAAACATCTACTCTTACCTAAAGCTTGGTGTTCCTGACACCTAACATCAATGTCCCTAACTGCCTACACACAGGTAAAATACACACAAAAATATACAAGTCAAAATATATGTTACATACAAGATACATATATTAATGACCTCTTAGCATACAAATCCTGAAAAAGTGAAAAACCAAGAATCCATAATATATGTTTTTTTATATATAAGGATGGCATTTCTGTTTTACAGAGGACTTGGGGTGTCTATGTAAGAACCACAACACAAAACTTGGCACATAGGGGTGGTTATTGGGCATTTGCTGAAGGAAAGGAAGGAAGGAAATGATGTGTACTTATGCAAAGTTGAATACCTGGAGGTACATGGATAGAGATCGAGAGAGCAGGAAAACTAAATAAAAAGTGATATATGCCCAAAAGACCAGCTTACCACATAAAGGTTTTCGTGGAAATACAGCCCCACATCGTAAAAGTTTCCATCATGCCTCACTGGGCAGGTTGTAATCTTCAGTTGCGCCGTTTGCCACCACTGCAAGACACAGCCACCTGGTTGACTAAGCAGGGACACTTTGATGAGGTAAGAGCCTTGGGGAGCCTTGTTCTTCAAGCCTCTTACACATTTCATCTGTATTTGAAGAGGCTGAGGAGACTGAGACTGTTCAACCTAAAGAAAAGATGGGGTTCTTGAATTACACAGGAACTGGGTAAAACCACACAATTAGCCACAATGCTCTTCTCAGAGGGAAAAAGTAGACAATTATTTTTATTCAACCTGTAATTGTAAGGTATTAGCAATGATAACAGAGGAGGACCCATGATATATAATTAGAGGGTCAAAAGGCAAGCCTGCCAATTATGTGAGGGAAAGTTTAGCCAATTTTTAAGCATGGTATGTTAATGATCTGTGACATCAGAAACCATTCATCTTTTATAATAAGAAAGAATTAACAGGAAACCAACACTTCTGAAAACCACACAGCATGCCTAAGATATCTGGGATGGGTAAACATGAGCAGTAAGCTTCAAATTCTGAGTTTGAAAGGGGACAGCCCTAGCCTTTAATACTAATCACAGACCAAATGCCACGTTGGTGAGTATAGCACAAAACAGGTCAGACTAACACTTCACAGGATACAATATTTTGATTTCATTTAAACATGAGGTCAACTTGCCCCATAGCTTTGAAAGAGAGTCGACAAAATAAAGTGGGGTGCAGAGCATTGGTATGTCCTTTAACCTAAAACACTGTCTAAATTACATATACCTGGAGAACAGGACTCAAGAATATTTTACAGGACATTTGAATTTCATTGCTTACTTTCAGTCAGAGAAATAGGCCATTTTCATTTTTAATATGTGTTAAAAAGTTTATACAAATTGATAAGATTTTTAATGGACTATTGTTTCAGATTAAACAAAAATTAAACTGGGATTATTAATAACTCAAATGTCATTAAGTCATGTTTTCTATACTCATAAGTCCCTAATAGTCTTTAGAACAATTTGACTTTGAAGAATTCTCTATTACATTGTGCTTTAAGCAAAAATAATGTCATTTTTGGAGGCAGGTTACTCTCTTGGCTACCCAAGTTACATCACTACTCATTAATCCACAGCCAACAGTAAGCACTTTTTAATCCTGCCTAGACTTTATTTCATGAAAGATAATATACATTTGCATATAGGCAGTACATTTCTGAAATCAAATCACAATTAAATAAACAGTGAAAGTTGCTAAACTTCCTTTGTTTTTAGTACGTCATACTTAAAAACTAATCAGAATAACAATTATTGTTGGCTTAATTAGAAAATCTTAATTAAGAATAAAGACTTAACCTTAATATTTTCGTTTCCAAAAATATTTTTAAAGTTAACACCATGTGAATAAATAAGACAATCTCTTTAAACCTCAAGGCAGGATTACTGATGCAGGCAGACTGAGTTATTAAACACATTTTAAATTAAACGCCTCTATGAATTTTATACTGAAATATATTGTGATAGTTTTGCATGCCAAATGTGACATTTCGTATTTTAGATTCATCTTCTGTAGTAATTTTAGAAATGTCACACAAACAAAGATTTTGTCATTTACCAATGGAATTATTATGCATGGCCGCTTAGCCATCTCTTTGCTGGCTCTTGTGGTTGTTTCAAGTCAGCAAGCCATAAAAAATCTTTATCTCTCTGAAACACAGCAATTTGGAAGATAATCGAATAGTGACTAGGGGGCACAAATGCCAGTCTGAGGAATTATACTACAATCTTTCTTGCATTTACAACCTTCCTCAAAGCGAGTGTCAGACAAGTAGGAAAAGGAGATAGAAGATTCATCAAATCTCAAGCCTTGTCTCATTTGCATGGTGGCAGACAGGCCAATTGTCTAGTGAGAACCCAGCCTGGCACAATGAGCAGCTTTTAGAAATTCCAATGGCTTTGCAATTGAGAGTTTTAGCCGTTCCACTTGAGCATAGTATTCTCCTCAAAAATACTTAAAACCTGCTAAAATTCTGTTTCTCTAAAAGGCCCTACAGGGAGAAAAGCACAACAGGAAAATGAGTCAATACAATTGACCTCATCATTTAACATTTTACATCACAGAAAAATGCACAAGAGTCCCACCTGCCAGCAAGGTCCTGCTGCTCCCTTTGATTCATGAGTTTTTTCTGTGACAGCACCAAGCTTGGCTGTGCTGTCTTCTTGACAAACACTTCTGTCTGCAGTTAATAGTTGACTTGGAGCTCTGCAGTAGTTATGACAGGAAGGGAGATAAAAGAAAGAGAAATTAACAATGGAGTATAATGAAGAGGTTTCCCTTTGGAACTACAACATGATTTGATGTTTGCCTTAAACATTTTGTCAGATTCTCTGGGAACTGGATAAATATGTTACAGATGCTACATTTGATTAAAATTGGGAAGTGAGTACCTTTTGAAGTTCAACCCTATAAAATATAGGACTCACTGTATTAGCTACTGATCTCACAACAATTAAAATATGGCTTGTTTCAGAAATTACCAAAAGATCAAATATTTATTAAGACTTGCTGCCACTTGAATTTCTACTGCACCCCTTCAATCTTACAAACTGTTAGGGGAATCTAAGGAATAAACATCATTTAAGTAGATGAACAGCTGATGTAATGAAAACGTTTCCTCTTTTAATGCAATGGCTAGAGATCAAGGTCTATTTCTACCTTTACTATGTTCTTAGGCTTTTTTTTTTCTTTATTTGAGGTTTGTTTATTTCAAATTTTTTGTTTGTTTTTTAGCCTAACAAAACCAAAAAGCATTTGCCTGCTTTCCCAAATTCTGTTGAATTAAGAAGGATCTTTTATTTTACTTCTCCTGACTTCGGCTTAATTCCATGAGTGGGGCCATCTGTAACAATGACTGCACCCCCACCAGAGGAATGGCCTTTTTGGATCTCACAGCTGATTTAGTTTCCTGTAATAGAAATGATTTTCCTTAATTTGGTTAAAGCTACATTGATACAAGGGTTCATTAGGACACCCATTTGCTAGCAATTCAATTTCAAATTAAATACACTTTGTTGTAAATTTTATTACTTTTAAACTACTGTATCTATTGTCTTTAATGGTCCTATTATACAGTTATGAAGGTAAACAGATTTCATTAGTAAACATAAACATGTTATGTTAACCATAGTGAGGTGGTTTCCTCAGTTTCTTTCTTCGTTCCCTTGGCAAGAATTGTAAGGCACTCATGAAATATCCTAAAAACTTAATAATTAAGTGCTATATTCCTCCTAAGGGGGAGGGGGAGACAAGATCTTTTGTTGAAATTCCAGTTTTTTGTAATTAAAGATGTTATGGAAATACCTTCATTAGTCTAAAGGAGCAGAACACACCCAGTACTAGAGACAAACTGGGCGCTTGGTGTCCCCATGGGGCAGCTGGACTCTAGACCAGCAGCCAGGCCAGACCTCAGCTCACTTTGGAATTTCATCCTATGGCATATTATTAGTATTGTTTTTCTCCTTCCATACAGCACTTATATAGTTATTCTTCATAGCTGGGTAGCTAGATACACTTTTTTGTCTCTTACAAAATGAGGCGGATGTTATAATTATTATTTTGAAATCTGTATTTTTTACTTTGTACACTATGGACATTTTCAATGAAATTAATTATTTTCTATAGCATAACCTTTAGTGATGACCTAGTATTTAATTTAAGGTTAAACTATAATTTATTTAAATAATCCCTTATTGTGGATATTTAGGTTACTTCCAGTTTTCACTGTTGTAAATTAGCCAATAATTAGCTCTCTTGCCTATAATGTCCTATGGACCTCCCTGGCCATCTTCCTGGTATAAATCCTAGCATTAGAAATGTTGGGGTATGGGAGGCATGCTAATTCTACATCTCACTAGCTTGAGCATTAGAATGACACCTCAGCAATATATAATCCTGTCCAAATAGTCCACTCTCTCAAGTGCTGAATAATCTTCATGGAGAGCCAGGTTCCATTCCGGCTAATCCCTTAACTTTCACTGCTAGTAGGATTACAAGTTAAGCAAAATGACAATGAATAGAGAGCACCAATGGACAACAGGGTTTCTCAACCTCTGCACTATTGACATTTAAAACCACATAATTTTTCATTGTAGGGGCTGGTCTCTCTTTTGCAGAATATTTAGTAAGATCTCTGGCCTCTGCCAACTAGATGCCATTAACAGATTTTCCCCTGTTCTTCCCCTATGTCTCTTCCAGTCAGGACACTCAAAATGTCTTCATACATTGCCAAATATCTCCTAGGAAAAAATTGATCCCTGCTGAGAAATCCCAAGGGACAATATTAACCAGTATTTATTGAGTGCTTGACATACTCAGGCAAACTTTTAAATACATTATATTTATTATTTCAATTAACCCTTAAAATAATTCAACAAGGTATTATTCTTGCAAAGAAGAAAAACTGAGTGTAAGGCATGTTCAACAACTTGTTTGAGCTCACATAGTCATAAAGAGTAAATAAAGCCTGAGGTTCAAAGTCAGACCATCTGATATGAGAATCCTTCTGCACCCATGCCAATACTACTGCATCTGCCATACTGGGATAGAGGAATATCAACTACCACAACCAGATCTTGGAAGGTCCTACACTAGACCAAGAACTCAGGTATTTTGTTCAGAGATAAATAATACATGATTCCCAGTTATATTCCCATTACTACAATATCCCATCCCTAAACTCTCATATGAGGTCTGTCCAGAAAAAGCCTAACCATTGTTAATATAACAAGAATAGTCTGCATGACATCAATATAACCTGGCAGTGAAGGAGAATGGACTGGAATGCACATGCATGAACAATGATGACTTTACTGTGCTAGTCAGTGGGGGCGGTAGACACCATTGAGTGAGTGTATGTACTGTGTGGCCATCCTATTCAAAATGACTGAGTGAGTAGAACAATGAATCTGCATCACATTTTGCATTAATTTGAACATTTCTCCAGGAAACTATTTGGATAATTCAGGAGTCTGCAGCTATGGGCAATTGGTGATTGGCAGCTTCATCCCAACAATGCACCTGTTCATGCATCATGTCTCATGCAGAGTTTTTTGGTAAAACATCAAATCACCCAAGTGACTCAGACCCACTATAGCCCAAATTTGGTGCCTTGCAACTTTTCCCAA